TGACATCATACACCGCCTACGTTCTAAGGGGGAGTTTTCTTTAATTATTTCACCTGAAGCAGAGAAATAAAGCCGCTAATACAGGAGACGTTACTGCACATTATTAAGGAGCAAGCACAACAAAATAAAAGGAATTAAGAAGACAGGAGTTAACGATTGACACTGCATTTAATTTTCTGAAGATTAATGCTGACTGGGAAGGAAGAAGCCGTAAGAAAGTTCCAAAATCGCGAAATGCAATCGATGAAATTTACGGTTGCATCTAGCCATTTAAGGACTAAGACGTTGAAACCTTCCCGCCAATCTAGTGTTTTCAGTAAGGCAGAGGGAAACTAACATACGGGAATTGAAAAAATTACTGAAGCCGAAAAGTCAGGTCAATAACATTAAAAACTTAGCATTAAAAATATAAATGACTTAAATTATGTAAATTTTATTAGCGTGCATGTAATCGCATAAACTATCTGTGATTTGGCGTAGCTTTCCCCGAAACTAAACAGTAAAACGTTTAAAAATAACAAAAGGGTAAATATTTTGTGGATGCAAGAGAACTCAAACGAATCGTAGAACACGGATGTGGCAGTTGCATAGATCATTATAGCTGCGCTTGGAACCATTCCAAACATAGTTGCGAAGAGTTTGGAACAGAAGACAAGTAAACCCTCTGTTTGATAATTTAAAACAAGCAGAACAGTTGCTGCAATAATGTACTGTCATAAACATTTGGAATCATGTAGGGGAACAATAGATAGTTCCTTGATAACATTTTTTTGTTTTACATTTGGGGTATCGCCATATCTCCTTGTCTTGGATTGGAAGATGTTATGGGACATTGGTATGTTCAAATGTCGGTCTCCTTAATGAAATATCGGGTTTAGTGTTAAGATGATTAAGACTATCTGGTAACAATCTGATGATGCCATCAGAGAGTGAAGAGAGACATGGAATAATTCGACTTCAAAATAACGGAAAAAACGTTTCACGCAAAAGACAAAAACAACCACGGCATTAGTAAACATATTGCAAAATTGAGATAATACAGATGCACATATCATAAAATTGTCCAATAATAAGATTAAGCGTGAACCGTTGTATTTTAGAAATGATTAAAGATAACTTACTGGAATTTCACCAGTTTTTATAACATTATTGGACTCTACTTTCAACATAAAGAACGTACATATATATATATATATATATATATATATATATATATATATATATATATATATATATATATATATATATATATAATATTAGTGGTCAATATATATATATATATTCCACATCGGGATTGATAAAATCTTCGTCTAACGAAATAGGCTATTTTCCATATGAGGTAATTTTGAATTTTACTGTTTATTATATATATACATATTAGGTAACAGTATGAAAATATCGTTTGTTTAATAAATTCATTTCGTTGTTGCCTTGAAAATGTCCACATTGGAGGAAACGCGTCGGCAACTATTACAGTTTTCCTATTGTCTTTTTACATTTATAAATATTGTCTTTTTTCTACGGGTTAACTCTGGGAAATTTTTCATATATATATATATATATATATATATATATATACACATACACACACATATGAAATACACACACACACACACACATATATATATATAGATAGATAGATAGATAGATAGATAGATAGATAGATAGATAGATAGATATAGATATAGATATATATGTATGTATGTATGTATGTATATATATCCAGGTAAGTTGAAGACGACTAGAGAACAATTCCAACGTTGGTAACATTTAATTTAAAAGAGGGGACAATACAATATTATATTACACCGAAAATCGCTACACACTTGCAATTGTGTTTCGATGCATCTCAATGCATCTCATCAGGCGATTGTAAATTACTGGCGAGTGAACGATTTATTTAGAGTTAAAAGCAAAATACAACCTGTTTTTTATGAAAAAAGAAAATGAATGTGGGTTATAAGTTTTGTGGGCTTTACTCTGAAAAAACAATCAAATATGACCTACGATAAATTTAAACTAAGCAAAGAAGCAAAAACTAAAAAAAAAACTTTTTTTTTTATAAATGGGTAATGACCCGTAGATTTACAGCTAACCGTAAAGCTTAAACAGGAGCCGATGTTAACGGATACATAAATTTTACGCACTAGTCAATACCATGTCGTAAGGGATTTAAAATTGTGTGAAGAGGTAATTTAACAAAATGCTATACAAGTTATATGCTTTTTGAGTTGCTTACATAATTCTTTTATAGTTGATAAATATGAGATGCTTTTGCCTTACTTAAAGGTTATAAGCCAGATTTTAAGATCAAATTTCCTGTCAGGATCATAAACCCTACCCGATCGCAAATCGGAAATATTCACAAAGTCATCTGGGATAGGGTCAACAAACAGCCTTGGACTTATACATTGGATTGGTACCACAGAAGTCATTAATTGGTTTAGAAGTATTATTAACGAAAGAAGCTGTATTTTATCCAGTTTGATATTGTGGATTTTTATCTACCATCTCCAAGGATCTCTTTACCCTGGCTTTGGAATTTGCCAAAAATATTCTAACATCTCCATGGATGAGATAAATATAATAATGAATGATTTTGACATGTTCTCGGTGTAATATCCTTATATATATATATATATATATATATATATATATATATATATATATATATATATATATATTATAAATTAATTGATTTAAAATATGGATTTTATATCTTACTGTTTCTTTCTTTTTATTTATATATATATACTTTGCTCCTAATCAAAAGTCGAGCACTCTAAATCTTTATTTTTAACAAGAAGAAAATATGGAGAAAATAAATTTCGGAATTTCTCTGAAGAACATTCCTAATACCAACAAAAAAGAATATTTCGTGTTATTAATGAAAAAAACAGAGGGACTTTAAAGCGGAAAAAAAAAACATATTTTAAATCAATTGATTTATAATATTAATGCTCTGTAAATTTACATTGAGCACTATTTTGTAAAAATAAAAATATCTATAAGAACACCGGATTTTATATCTTACTGTTCTTACTTTATATATATATATATATATATATATATATATATATATATATGCACGCGTATATGTATGTATGTGCGAGTAGATATAGATATGTTGTTGTGTATATGTGTACGTATGTGTTTTTGGGCATATAAATAGTAGGTCCTTACTAGATTAAATATGGACGAACAAGGAACAGATGAGACCGGCGAGGCTACCGGCCGTCACTCAGGAGACTACTGCTGCTGCTGCTACCACCGCCATAATCCCGTCACCATGACAACTAGGTGGCAGACCGGCCACGACGCTAAGTACTTCTAATGCATCAGTCGCCAGCTTCACCTCCATCTCTCAACATGACCGCTCATTTCAACAACCGTCCTGGCTTGACCTACAATCTCGGCTATCCAGTTTTCAACTCAACACCTCTACCTCGATTGCTCCCAGCTACAGGCCTCCATGGATAGCAACACTGCTCTCACCACGGCCTACCCCAAAATCTCGACGCTCTTACATGGCATTCCCTTCGCGGTCGATCTCATTGATATCTGTTCCACAGAATAGCTCTACGTCGTCTTGATTACAAGGCTCTCCCTTTAAAGTCGACGCTGTTATCTCCGTTCCACAGAACAGTTCTACCTCGACTTGTTACAAGACACTCCCTTCACAGTCGACGCAGCTACCTCCGTTCCGCAGAAAGTTCTACCTCGACTCGCTACAAGGCACTCTCCTCGCAGTCGACGCAGCTACCTCCGTTCCACAGAACTGGCCTCCCTAAACAGGCCGTCAACTTGGCCTACCTCGACCTACTTCGGCCTACTGCGTATCGTTTACAAGGCACTTCCTTCGCAATCGACCAGCGACACCCGTTCCACACAATAGATGTACGAACGACAAGACGACCTACAACCTTTACATCAATTAAAGAAACGTGCAGTGACCGTATCTCGTGACCCCATCCACGCCGGCATAATAAGTACACCCGACCATATTCCTGTACTATATACCACAATAAATGTTGTTTCACACTAAACCACGTTATTCCTTTCTCTCGCCACCATACGCTTAATGTAACAGTGACAATAAATTCACTCATCTGTCAGCAAGCCTTGGCCACTGGTTGGGAAAATGGGCTACAAAATAGGGAAATAACTTTAGCGCCAGACTTCCACATGTTATGTAACCTTCTATATCAGAAAGTTCTGGACAATTTCCTCAAAGATAAAAATAAATGTAAAAAAAAAGAATATAAGGTTCTCCTGAAGATTGTTTAGAATGGTATGGACATTATATGTGAGAATAGGAACTACAAAGAAACGTTATTCTCGAAAACACTTATTCTTATATTCAGAAAAAGATCAGCGAATATATCTGGAACACAAGCGCCAAAGATAAGGTGAGTTGTAAGTAATAGCGTCACACTCGATTCAAATAGCCGTCAAACCTGTATGGGACGCCGGTCGATCCTCCAAGGGAACATTATCGTGCGCATAACAAACACTAAATAGATCAGTCATTCATTTATTCATTCAAGCATTCATCCAGTCACTCAATCTAAATCTACATCCGTCTCCTTCAAAACTATAATACATCTTTATCCTACTAACGCCTCGGCCTGAACTCTGAAATTGTATTCCCTATTTTTTTGCCTCAGTAAGTGTAGATCTATCTTCTGGTTCACACTCATCCCCTGTCTTTTGAACACGATTACTGTATCCCTTTTTAGGATTGGGATTACGGTTCCTTCTAAAGACTTGTCTTTTACTCCCAGCAGGCTTTGCGTCAGTGACATTAATGGTTTGCTTAGGGTGATTTGACGGCAAAACAAATGACATTATATTTCCCCAATAAGTAGATTCTTGACCACATCAATTCTAGAGTTAACCGCCATCTTTCTTTGATAAACCTATTAACTTCACTTCCTGTCCTTTCTTATGCTCGTACGAATACCGCACAATAGCTCTCTAACTATAGTGTCTCTTGGGTCTTCTATTTAGTTGCATTCAGTTGTAACCTAGGGAAGGTTACTGAATTGAATAATCACACGAAGGTTGATAATGAAAGATAATACTTGGTACAAGAACAACACATATAAGATTTGCCAGCGGCACGTAGAAGAATTAGTCAACTGCCAGAAGTGAGTCAAGTGAATTCCATAATGAATCTCCAACAGCAGGATTTCTACCTAGCGCCCCACACGGTCCGATGTGCCACAAGGCCAAATTTAATATGCTCGGCCCCAAAATCCCCCGTAGTCTTCGTATAAAACAGGGCCGGGTAGCCGTTACACCAGACGAGACTCAGCCCTTCGACGTAGCCTTGTCTGTGGATTCTCTCTGCCCGGAGGCAGAAAGTTTGACCAGAACAACTGGAGACGAATCCCCAACTGCAGGTTACCTACCAACCACCCCACTCGGCCAGATGTGGCACAAGGCCAAATTTAATATGGGGTATCCGAGCTCATAGTCTCAGACAAAATTCCTTGTAGACCCCGTATAAAAAGGGGCCGGGTAGCTGTTTCTCCAGACGAGACTCTGGCCTTCGACAAAGCCTCGTCTGTTGATTCTCTCTGCCCGGAGGAAGAGAGTTTGACCAGCACAGCTGGAGACGTATCTTCAACTGCATATTAACATATAGTATTTACTACTATATGTATCTGAACGGGGATTTACCCATTATCGTCTGTAGGTATGCTAAAACTCACTTGTAAAAAAGCAAAAAAACAAAAAAAAACAAGATAATAGAATTATTACTGTGAAGATTTCTTTGAATTGTTTTTGTTTTTACGGGTGATTTAAGATTTTAGATGTATTCCGAATTATATTTCTGAAATTACTTCTAGCCTCATTAAACGTCTTCAGAGAGTAAATGTTTCATATTGATAGTTTGCAACTTCGAGAAATGCTGACCCATCGGTAAAAAGAAAATAACAAGATGAATTAGATGGGGAAATTCTTACTGTGGTCTTCAATCAAGTTTACAATGTGAGCTGAGAGAGAGAGAGTGAGAGAGAGAGAGAGAGTGAGAGAGAGAGAGAAAAATAAAAAGAGAGTGGGAGGGAGGGAGAGAGAGAGAAGAGACTCACTCGTAAAATGTCATTCCCAGTAGGAAAAAAGTAATTGCAATGGTGTCACACACAAATTAACATTTCTCTGTATACAGAAGACATATATCATTTCGTTGCTGATTGGCACTTTACAAAAATTGGTTACACTGATGACACAGACAACAACCTAAAATTATTATATGTTTCTATATTTTTGCCTGAATTTCTGGCATGAAGTGTTATTTTTATTTACACTATTTATGTTCGGTCTATTTTCCCAATCATTGTTCTTTATCACAACGTTTCTTTATCACAACGTTTCGGTCGATGTGCTCTACGGCTTTCTCCCGGTCTATATCGACCTGGGCAGCCCAGAGGGAAATCCGAATCTGGGCAGCCCAGAGGGGAATCTGAATCTGGGCAACCTACAGGGAAATCCGAATCTGGGTAGCCTACAGGGAAATCCATATCTGGGCAGCCTACAGGGATATACGAATTTGCGCAGCCTACAGCGATATATGAATTTGGGCTGCCTACAGGGAAATCCGAATCTGGGAAACCTAGAGGGAAATAAGAATCTGGGCAGACTAGAGGGAAATCCGAATGTGAGCAGCCAAGACGGAAAACCGAATCAGGGAAGCTTATAGGGTTATTCGAACCTGAGAAGCCTACAGGGATATCGGAATCTGGGCTGCCTTACAGGGAAATCTGAATCTGGGTAGCCTAGAGGGAAATCCAAATCTTGGCAGCCTAGAGCGAACTCCGAATTTGTGCAGCCTAGATGGAAATCCCAATTTGGGCAGCTTACAGGAAATCCGAATGAGGGAAGCCTACAGAGATATTTGAATCGGGGAAGCCTACAGGTATATTTGAATCTAGGAAGCCTACAGGGATGTTTGAATCTGGGAAGCCTACAGGGATGTTTGAAACTGGGAAGCCTACAGGGATAACGGAATCTGGTCTGCCTACAGAGAAAATCCGAATCGGAGTAGCCTAGAGGAAAATCCGAATCGGAATAGCCTAGAGGAAAATCCGAATCTGGGTAGTCTAGAGGGAAATCCGAATCTGGGTAGCCTAGAGCGAAATCCGAATCTTGGTAGCCTAGAGGGAAATCCGAATCTGGGTAGCCTAGAGGAAAATCCGAATCTGTGTAGCCTAGAGGAAAATCTGAATCTGGGTAGCCTAGAGGGAAATCCAAATCTGGGTACCCTAGAGCGAAATCCGAATCTGGGCAGCCTTCAGGGAAATCCGAATGAGGGAAGTCTACAGGGATATTCGAATCTGGGAAACCTACAGGGATATTCGAATCTGGGTAGTGTACAGGGATATCCGAATCTCGGTAGCCTACAGGGAAACCCGTACCTGAGCAGCTTACCTGAATATCTGAATCTGGGTTACCTACAGGGATATCCGAAAGGGCATTAAGCGTGTTGTATCTCATCTAGTTCTTTTTTATTTAGTATTGTTCAGTTATTAACCAGTTTCCGAATTTGGTAACATAGTAGTCCGGAGTTCCATCCCTGAGTCAGGCATTGTGTATTTGGATTTATGGAAACGGGAGATCAAGAACTGAACATATATCTTTCTGTATAATGCTAAAAGTCTGTGACTCGTGCCTACGTCGGCCCTCGGGTGCATAATGAAAAATAAAGTTTTTTTCCACCTTTCTCTTTCAAACTCTCTCTCTCTCTCTCTCTCTCTCTCTCAATCTATCTATCTATCTATCTATCTCCACCGCTTTGTGATTGCGTGCGTGCTAATTTATATTTCAGCTTTCTTTAAACAAAGAATATTTGAAATAGTCTTGCCATATTTGAAATATTTTCGCCATATTTAAAAAAAATATTATCAAGTGAATATGTTTTTAAATTATTTTTGTGATATTAAAAAAAATAAGTTAATCTGATTTTAAAAAATATATATATTTAAGATTTAAAAATACAAGTTGTTTATCCAGTAATTATTTTTATTTCAACCTTCTTCGGACAATTAATGTTGAAATAAACTTCATTGTTTTATAATCTGAATCGTCAGTGACCCAACTGTCAAGGATAGTCTAGTTACTAAAGAAAAATATGAACTAGACGAGATACCTAATCGTGATCAGTGGAACTAGACCAGTATAACCCTATCGATTAAATAAAAAGGCTTCAGTTCAGAATTCACTTTATGTTAACAGGATCGATATATATCTGAGCACGACAGGATGGCACAACGGTCAAAACGTTAAAACATATTTCGAATTTGTATTTACAAACATTGTATTTATTTTCAATGTTTCTAGCTGAATTGTTCAACGACATTGCATAGGATCCGTTATTGTACACAATTAGTTTAAAATAAACTGTGTTCTTTATACAAATACTACATCACGGAAATTGTAGAAGAGTAGGTTTTCCGTATCACAGATTCAGGTGGTATCATATATGTGGTAGGTTAGAGGCCACGTGGGTCTAGCACCGTCTCTGCTCATAGTGACGAGAATTTCAGTCTGTCTTTTCTGCTGCTGTTTGTCGTAGTTTCAAAGTGTAACAGTCTGATTATATTAGGTTGACGTAAAAAATAATGACGTAAAAATGTCGTTTTTTGACGTGCTTTTCTACGTCAGAAAAAGACATTCTTAGGTCATTATTTTTGCACCAACCTAATATCATCATTTTCTCTTGTAATATGTTGTTTTTTTTTTATTATTTCACCCCAAGGAAGGCAATGAACGCATTAAGGCGCAAGAGGTTCCTGTTAGTGTTAGAGAATATGAGAAAAAACTAATATTAAGGAGAGAGGAGAATTAAAAAAAATATTTAAGAAAACAAAATATAACGATTGATATTGCATTTAAATTTTTGAAGGTGAAAGTTGATTGGGAAGCAAGAAGCCTAAAACGTGTTCGACAATTTCCGTTGTTATTGAAAATATTCTGATTGGGTTGTTTTTGATTTGGTAAAACTTTTTGTTCATGATTTTGTAGTGCCAATATTTAGGGTTAACCTTTTCTAAGATTTGTAGGATTAATTCGTTTCAAACCCTTTTTTCACTATTGATCTCAGCAAACTGTTGTATACAGATGCTAGTTTAGCAATCTCTGCACGTGTTGGGCACTCGTATGAGAATCTAGATCAACAAAGTGAGAATTAATTTCAAGCAACTAAACAAATTATAAATATATAAAAAGAAAGAAATGCGATGTAAACGGCAATGTATTATCTATTCACCTACCTAGGTGTGAGCATAAACTACATCCGATAGAAAGGCTTCTGATCGGCAGGCTGTGAAATGCATGGAACCACCTCTTAATTAACGTTATTCCCAGGTCACCCCCTTAGCCGGGGTGGTAGCACATGTTATGGCCCTAGGGATGGGCAGATTGTTAACCCCAAAACTTGGGTCAAAGCTATATGAAAGTACCAAAAGAGAATTTTATAATAAAAATCCAAGCAATAGATTTGTGGAAGAAAAAATATTACCAGCAATACATTTGACCTTCGACAAAAACCCCCTTTACAAAAATACATCAATTAAACCTGATGTACAAACTGATTTCTTACAAAGAATACATATTCTATTCAGAAGAACCTATTCTAAAAATCTTATCGGCATTTAATAACCCATTGAGTTGTTGATATGCCGTAAAACAAAATCAATCCCCTCAATCAAATCTCCTCAATCAAATCTCCTATAAAGTGGAAATCTTATCGGCATTTAATAACCCATTGGGGTGTTGATATGCCGTAAAACAAAATCAGTCCCCTTAATCAAATCTCTTCAATCAAATCTCCTATAAAGTAGATAATAGCGGATTATCTCGTTTCATTTGAAGAAGAGATTTAAAGTGGTAAATATTTGCTTGTACTGTCGAATGGTAAGAGTACCATGGACAGATCATAGGTGTAAAGAGGAAGCATTAAAAGTAATACGAACTACAAACATGTGTATAATTACAACCTGAACGTGGTAGTAGAAATTCTCGGAACACAATGAGTAAGGTGTGCTCGGAGATTCGAGCAAATATAGGAAATATTGATCACAACAAAAGAGAAATAAGAGATACAGTAAGTCAATTTCTGTGTAAATTTATAGCAAAAGAGCGACAAATGTAGCAAGTGGTCGATAATTAGAGCAACATTTTGGAGAGTAATGATTACCAGCGTTCTGATGGAACTGAAGAGGAATTTCACGGACACCAGCTTCATAAACAGGTGATAATATTGACAGCAGACAGAAAAGGAAAACTACGAGAAATCAGAGAAAAATTAATAAAGCAATGCGAGACGTAATGGACGGATAGCGACCGCATCTTTGTCATCACGACGAACCGTACAGGATGAAAGATAAGAAAGGTGGTCATCAAAATCTAACGAGCACACGAATTTAAATATATTGGATGTCTAACGGATGACAGAAAATTTCAGCAGAATAATTCCAAGACGTATTGGAATAGCAAGCAATGCTTTTCAAATGATAATGGTATGATGAAACAGGAAAAAATAATTAGAAACAAAGAAACTAGTAGCCCTTAAGCCTTGTTTTATGTGAAATTATAAAAAAAAATATTTTGTGTAAATTGGAAACAAACCAGAATCTGGGATCGATAATAAAGAAGCGGATATTGCTCGTAGCTACAAAGCATAGGATGATGTGGAGAGCTATGAACGCCCCAGTTCTGTAGTGGCGCGTCACTAACGGAAGAACGATATTTATTCTATTGATGTTTTTGTTTTCTTAAGATATTTTTTCCTAAGTATATATGTACTTAAACAAAGAAAAGATCACAACTTTTATGCAATATCAGTCGTCCTATAGGGTAGTGAATACTGGACAATTGGTCTCATAGCTGATCACAAAACATGCGATAAAAGGATTGCTTTTTCGTAGAAGATGCCAAGAACACTTTGCACGTGGCGTGTGCGTACTGAGGAAGCTTCACAGAAAATGGAAACAAAAAGACGCTTACACTTCGAATCAGAAAGAGTCAGAGGTATTTCTAGAAGACATAATGAGGACAGATGGCACAGAACATTTGCTACTAATAAGGCATAATGACTGAAAAAGCGACAGGAGACATCTACGAGAAAATACCTAACGCGTTTGTGTATAAGGATTAAAGAAAAAGATATGGGAAGGACAGTAAAATGACAAAAAATAAAAATGAAAAGGAAGCTGTGGAGCGACATTATCGAACACAGACTAAGGGAGACGGGATATTGACTAATATTACGAAATGGGTCATATTTCATGTTGTTGATTCCGAGATGAAATTTAGTCTCCAATGAATGACAAACGCAGGAATGAAATATAACAAATAAATGTATTTACACAATAATACAATTGGTAATACGGTTAGTAGATCCAGAAACGTAGTTAGTAGCAATAATAATATATATACACTGGTAAATCCAGTCTCGAAGTAGGACTTCCTTAGAGTCTCTGTGCTTGTAACTGTGACTTCTACAAGCGGTTACCTCACACTATTACTCTTCCACTCCAACTCAGTCATTCTGTCTACTCTGACACTGTCTTCTCTTCTTCTTCTTGCGGCCTCGGCCGAGATTGAACTCACCAATACTTTGATTGGTGTAGTTCATAATCTTGTCAAATAGCTGAATTCTTGATGCTTCGCTAGGGCTATCAAGAGTGTTTTTATCGTGACACCATCACTAAATGGATTGCCAACCAAGGCTGAGAGAGACTCCATTCACCCTCCTCTAAGAGCAGGTTTGAATTCAGAGTTTTCCTTCTCCTAGACCAGTTGCCAGCCAAGGCTATAGAACCCAGTCTGTCCTGCAATTTACCCATAGCTGGAGGGAGAAGAAAGATGATCCACACCTTTTCCCAAGGGTGTTATCACGTAAGTGAATGTAATGGATTCGACTGGAATTCGAACTCGACTCTCCGATTCGTCAATCCATTACTCCACCGGCAGCAGTACAAGTACACACTGGTCGAGTCCACTTGTATGAAAAAGGGGTGGACCCCATAACATTACATCATAATCAGTTCTTGGATGCAGTCCATATACTATGGAATGCAGAGTACTTCAACGTGACGTAATGTTCAGAAAAGTTGTATCGCTGGATTAATTACGACACAGTAATGAGTTCGATCATCAATAGGTGATCCATTCTTTCAATGTTGTGCCGCATCTAAGCTATGCTTAGAAAATCAACATATTCTACCGAGGTAGGGACAATTTGACGTAGGGTAGTGGTGAGCAAGCTTGTCTCGCGAGACCAAATTACTGAACTGTTACGTGATATATATGACAGCGAATGCTGGAAAATCTCCTCAAAGATGCAAAAGAGACTTGAAGCAACAGAAATGTGGTTCTACAGAGGGATGCTGAGGATACTATGAACGGAACAGGTGAGCAACGACGAAATTTTAGAGGAAATGAACACAAAAAAGAAACATACAGTTAATATCAGAAAGAGACTGTCGAAATTT